GATGTCTAGCGACAAGCCTGAAGTTACTGAAGTAGGCATGGTGGCCTCACCCGCTGCCACAAAGCCTAGCTTCAAATCTCGCGTGGCGGCCCACTTCAAGAAATGGTGGTGGGCGCACCTCATCGCATTCATTGTAGTCGTGCTCGTCGTGGCCCTTCCGGTGTAGGTTCAATCCTGGTAAAAATGGTTATCTCCGGCGAAGCCCGTCTGACAGCGTCGCTCTAATAGGGTATATGTCGGCTATCCGAACATCGCACAAGACAACATTAACGACTCAAAATTGGAAGTCAAGTCGATGGTGATCAGTGAGCCGACGCCGGAGTCGTTCCATGTGGACCAGAAACAGGTCATCTGGACGGACAGCGTGTTTCATCCAACCATCTATAGCTTTAACGCAAGTGTCGGTCTCCTGGGCGCAGCCCCATTCGGCATCGCGACCATTCCGCAACTCAAGTCGAGGGACGGGGTCGAGGTGCATGTAGAGCAGCGCCTCGACTTGACTGATGCGTCTGCATTCGGCGACTTCGCCACGGCGGTGATGCAGAATGAATATGTTGACCTCAATGTTTACGGGAGGCCGGACTTGAAGCAGGGGGCTTTGCCAAAGATCACCGTGACGTATAACCACACCGCTACTATGAAGGGTACGCCCAGATGAACGTTCGCATTGCTTTAGTCACACCCACTAACCGGCATGAAAGGCCTTAACAAGCTAAAGGGATTCTCGCTGTCCGGCATGAAACTTGCCAAGGAGGCACCCGACGGAACGAACACCGAAGGACAGGTTCTGATCCCCAACCCGTCGGTGATGACGATCAGCTTGGTATGTACTACGTTTGAATCTCCTCCGAATTCTTTGTACGACGAACACGCGAACTGATGGCTACAGGGTAACGTGACCCTCGATCTCTCCGTGAATGGAACCGGCATTGGCACATCGTACATCCAAGATCTAGTGTTGAATCCTGGTGATAACAAATTTCCCATGAGAGCCAAAGTAGACCAACTGACCATGGTCACTTTGATGACGAAATACCCGGGCACGGTTGTCCCCGTGGATATCACCGGCTCTGCGACCAACTCAAGTGTGTACGATGGCAAGGCTCTCTCGTACTTCTCGAAGGCTTTGGCATCGAACAAATTACAAGTTAACCTGAACGTCACCGAGGTGGTGGGTTCGAGTTTGAGTTCGTTTTAAAAAGGGCATCGCCGTGTATATCCTGTTAGCCTTGACTCCGTTTTGGCCATTGCGACTACACTTTTACTGTTCCTTATGTCTTTCTACTGTCTTGGAGCCCCGCTGTTGTGCCGATGACATCTTTAATCGTTTTTGATACCATTCTAATGTACCCGCGATGATCCGACTGCTTGATGATGGGAGGGTGGTTCGGACTGATTGATAATCTGCGTTTTCTTCATATCTCATCAGAACGGCCTTTGAGTAACCCCGCTTGTATCGCACTCAAACGCTGAGGGTCCTCGCTCCGTGGCTGTTCCTTGTTATAATAGTCCTCGCTACATATAATCCGATTTGAGAGGAGCTTCACCAGACATAACTTCTGATTGTGTAGCCAATTTCTTTCCTTCCCAATGTCGAGTAGCCTTTGAGACTTCACCCCACCCCGCGAAGCCGACACGTACACAAAGTCAAGACAAGTCATGGTACAACGTTTGTGCAAGGACTCAATCCAATGGTTCGCCGATTTAAGGTTCCCGCACCGAGCTCGAAGTACCATCGATCACCCTGTTACTTAAACCAGCACAAAAGTCTAGACCGACTGTCGACCATTGAGGTTAATCGTCCCCGATTCCCGGGGATTCGGCCTGTCCGATGGACAGGATCTACTTCTTAGAAGTTGTAGATAGGGTCACCGGTGTCATCTCCTCCACGTGGAACTTGATCCGAGGGCATGGTCAAACGTGGAAATAGTCGGGGGCAACGGTTGGCTTGGCTGCTGCCTTGGTACAGCAGAGAATAGGATCCACCGGAAGAACGTGCTTCTTGGCTTTTGTCGCTTTGGAATATATCGAAGGGTGAGTTTGCGCTGTTCATGACTCCGAGAGTGGTCAAGTTGATTGCTCTACGTTGCACTCCTGGTACTGAGGATTCTTCGGCGTTGGGATCGGGATCATTCTATACGCCCGAATCGCCCAGCGAGAATCCATCGAAGGTATATGAAGATTGCCATAGTTAGCAGTACTACTGCTACACATTCGAATCCTGCAGCGCTAGAATGACGTCGGTTACCGCTACACAGCCGCAACAATCCGTTGATATTGAGCATCGGGGGAATCATCGGAATGCTTCGAAGTTCCTATCGGCTCCCCGCCGAGATAAGGACAAGTACTTGGCGATCCACTCTATAGACCATCTCCCACCGAACAATCAATAGTTATCTTACAACTTGCCACGACTAATAGCCGACGATGAAATGACCTTATCGCAGACCGTGACCAATTGAACGTGTTCCCCATTGTGAACTTGAATCTTCAACTGGCCCAAGACAAATGCCGTGAACAGCGCGAGGCCAAGATGCCGACCTGCCCCGAACGATGATATCGGATCTTATCAGACGGCGATATTACCTGGCGAAGATCACTGGATCTAATTACCTAAATGTTTTCCGGGATTCGCCCAACAAGAGCCATATCCATGATGGATATGCGCATATCCCATAATTTGCTCCCCCTAAATCAAGTATGTGGTCGGAATATGTCTCGCAGCACGGTCCTCATATACTTCAAGGCCAGACGCCAAGATGAAATGGAGTTTCTCCAAGACCTTGGCCTAGATTGACTCCATTGATATGCGATTATCATTACGTGAAATGCCTCATCTATGGGAAACGACTTCGCTGTGATCTTCCTACTGTGCCACTTATCTAGCCCAGAAAACCATCCATCTAATGTGTGGGTTTCTCCACGATAAGACAATTATTGCCAATAACTCTTTCTTGGTCGACGGAGAATTAATCTGCCAACCCGTGCGAGAGGACTGAACTTGGAGGCACTACACTATATAACTGACATATCTTCCACGATGTCGGTTCGATTCTCCAGAGCAAGCTCAACTTCCATTCCCCGACTCAGAAACCCGAGCAACCAAGCAGCAGGATGGGGGTCACTTTCAAAGCTCTTGCCGTGTCGGCCCTGGCTACTATCAGCCATGCTTCGCCTCTCCTGTATCCTCGGGCCACGGACTCTAACGTCACCTATGTGTTCACCAACCCCAACGGCCTAAATTTCACCCAGATGAATACCACCCTGCCAAATGTCACCATCTTCGCGACAGGTACACACTCCCCTACCCTAACCCACAAGTCCCCCCTCACCGAACCAAAAAAAAAAAGACTAATCAGAAGTACAGGCGGCACAATCGCCGGCTCCAGCGCCGACAACACCGCAACAACAGGCTACAAAGCCGGCGCAATCGGCATCCAGACGCTGATCGATGCGGTCCCGGAGATGCTGAACGTCGCCAACGTCGCCGGCGTGCAAGTAGCCAACGTCGGCAGCCCAGACATCACCTCCAGCATTCTGCTGCATCTCTCCAAACAGATCAACGAGGTCGTCTGCAATGACCCCACCATGGCCGGTGCAGTCGTCACCCACGGCACCGACACGCTCGAAGAATCCGCCTTCTTCCTCGATGCCACGGTCAACTGCCGCAAGCCCGTGGTCATCGTCGGCGCCATGCGCCCTTCAACCGCCATCTCCGCCGACGGCCCCCTCAACCTGCTCCAATCCGTCACCGTTGCCACGAGCCCCAAGGCCCGAGACCGCGGCGCCCTGATCGTCATGAACGACCGCATCGTCTCGGCCTTCTACGCCTCCAAGACCAACGCCAACACCGTCGATACCTTCAAGGCCATCGAAATGGGCAACCTCGGCGAAGTCATCTCCAACAAACCCTACTTCTTCTACCCCCCGGTCCAGCCAACCGGCAAGACCGAAATAGACATCCGGAACATCACCGCCATCCCCCGAGTCGACATCCTCTACTCATACGAAGACATGCACAACGACACCTTATACTCCGCCGTCCAGAACGGCGCAAAGGGCATCGTCGTAAGTCTCCTCCATCCCTCAATATTAAACCCACCCAAAACAAACCAGATACTAACACACACCCAGATCGCCGGCTCCGGCTCCGGCTCCGTCTCCACCCCCTTCAGCGCCGCCATGGAAGACATCACATCCAAACACGACATCCCCATCGTGGCCAGCACGCGCACCGGAAACGGGGAGGTGCCGTCCTCTGCCGAATCGAGCCAGATCGCAAGCGGGTATTTAAACCCCGCGAAGACACGCATCCTGCTTGGGTTGTTGCTTGCGGAGGGGAAGAGCATGGAGGAGATGAGGGCGGTTTTTGAGCGGATTGGGGTTGCTTGATCCTGTTTGGTCTCTGTGACTTGTGTATTATAGATTGAAGGGGGAATTGGGGGGGGTTTCTTATGAATAGATTTTGTCGTAGAGGTTTTGTATATAGAATTATAGATTATGGACTTATGAATGTGATAGATTATGAATTGTTGATTAGAGATGGTAAGATTTTATATGGATTTTATGGATTTTGTGAATTTCAGGATTGGAAGTGTCGTTTCTGGTTGGCTTTTTCACTTTGGGTAGGGATGTTGAATATCAGAGCTTTTTCGTTTGGTATTCGGTTGAGAATCAAAGATATCGTACGGTACTACTATTGTATCTGGAGGAAACTAAGGTCGATCTAGATACTAATTACTAGGTATATAAAAGCTTATGCGCCAGACGACCTGATCGGCGACAGGGATTCAGAGCCTACTCGTTTGTAGGAATAAAAATTCGTTTGAGTCATTTCTTTCATATCTGGTATTCTGACACAGTAATTATAAACACACGACACGCCCATCACCTGTTTTTGTTCCTTAGAATTCTGTCCTGGTTTTGTTGTTAATTTCTCTTTTTTTTTGGCTGTTCTTTTCTTATCTCTCCGCGCTTCGAGTGGGATCTTTCGACTACCGCTACATCTCATGTAGCGTGTTATACCCGGTCTCGATCAGACTCCGCGGACCGCGTGCATCTCCTCCGATATGCCAATAGAACAGTCCTCCCAGCTTCGTTTTGGTTGCAAACCTAGCCTTCTGCTGCACCGTCCGCGGCGTATCATAGGTTACGAACCCGCCATCACCACCGGAGCAGTATGCTGCGCCCAGCTTATCATCGTGATGCTCCTTAGCGCCAGGACGGGGCAAATCACTGTAGTCGAACACGCCGTCCTCGCCACCCGTACCGGCATACCGTTGACCGGGCTTCTCGCTACCCAAAAATGACCGGCCGTAGGCAGGAACTCCTAGCAAGATTTTCTTCGGATCGACACCCTGCGAAAGCACATATTGCACACTAGACTGACAAGAGACAGCGCCCGGATTCCGAGAAGGACTATACAATTGTGCATGGTGTCCGCTCTCGTTCGTCCAAGGTCCAGCAAAATCATACGTCATAAGATTGATCAGGTCGAGGTACATAGATGCCTTGGAGAGATCGATATTCCGGAGAGCCCATTGGCCCGCCGGAAGACAGGTTGCTAATACGAATCGCGGCAAAGGCAGTGCTTCCCGCAGCTTTGCTAGTAGTCGGACGTAGTCCATGCCTTCTTGTGGGTCGGCGGGGTGTTCCCAATCAACTGGGGGGCATTAGTAATGTGTCCATGGTAAGTTGAGGAAGGTGTCAATACATACTGTCGAGGCCGTCAAGGCCGAATTGGTCTACCAGCGCCCTGGCCGTGCGGACAAATGTCTCGGTGCGCGATTGACTCCGCGCCACGAGAGCAAAGTTCTCGCTTCCCTTGCCGCCTCCGCCGACGGAGAGAATGACTTTCATCTTGGGATATTGCGGTTTCAGCTGCGTGAAGGCCCGGATACAGCCCTGCGTGCCGTCCACAGGCATTTGCGCATCGGCCCATTCATCGCTTAGCTACATATTTAGATCTGCGGTTAGCGTGGGATCTTTCTAATGATGAAGAAAATTTTATCCTTGTAAAGAAAACAAGTAAAGAAAAAAAGAAAATTCGGGTGGGAGATCCACATATACGGTGCCGTCTTCTTTGACCCTAAAACAAACAAAACGTCTTGGTTAACATTTGTACTTTGTATGTGTATGTACCCGAGCCTAGGGATTGGGGTTCCCTCGGCCTGATATATGGCTGTACTACCAAGCAAATGCGTAGAAGATATGAGAGACAAATCCCAGTCTGAGCGATGAAGGAGGTTGTTTTCGGTATATCCGCCAATTGGGATAATACGCTGCGTTCATGTAGTATGGAACCTCATACGAGTTGTTGCTGGAGCGTTCCGCCGCTTTGCGACGCCAGTGGGGGAAAAGACCGCCGGACAATGGCATGATGGTAGCATACAACCCAAGATGAGGGATTTTAGAAGAAGGAGGTGTTGTAGAAAGAAGAACGCGGATTTGGAGAAAATGGGAGAAAAGAAAAATAATTAGAAAATTAAAAAGGTCCACAAGCACCAACAATCGTGAAAAAATAAAGTGTGCGAAAAGCAGCTTCCCTATTAAGGACAATGTCACGTGTGGGGGATGTTCCTTTGCTTTGGGGTGGTTGAATGTTTCTTAGTTCGTCATGTACTCGTATTTGGCTGCGGTGTTTTTTGTTTTGTTTTTTTTTTTGTTTTCTAAAAAAAAAAGAACAGGCAAGTGAAGGCGAAAGCGAAACCCCCCCAATGTGAGGTCTTTGGGGAGGCGTGAATCAAAGAAGGCAACCAAAGTTAGTGCTCAGCGACTTTCCATGCCCGTCGACGACAGAAGAGTGACATAACATTTGCTGCACAATGCACGCTGATGGAAAGATCGTGCATTAATTCCTGATTTATAGCCAGTGCTGGAAAATGACGCTTTCACTCTTTCTCTCCCACCCCGGGCCTAAGACTCCAACCCCGGACAATAAGATTCTATTTATCCTTCTATTGCAGGGTTGCAAGAGGACCGTGTCAAGCTGGGCCTCCGACAGTACCATGCTCATTCGTGGACTAGCCACCAGGCCAGAAATATATCGAAAGGGACTTTTGATCGGTAGCAGCTTCCAGAGGGTCTAAACTCCCGGATTACGCTCACCCCACCTTTCGGTGTCTGTTCCGTCGACTGATAGTTATTGGGTGCCCCGGAAGCTTCATAGGTGAAGCACTAGGCAGAGCGCGCGGGTTTGAAAGCGCTGAAAAGACCGTTCTGGGGCTTTTCGGTGAAGATCGTCTCACGAGTCTGGTAGCAATGAACTAAGCCCCAGTTTCATAGTAAGATTTGAGTGGATCGGTGGCAGAGCTGTGCATTGCGGGCTGACTTGGTAATGGTATAGTATAGGACGGAAACCACCACAACCTTAGGTAAGACCGGCTGTAGAAATGCCAACAACTCTCAATAATAATATCACTGGTACTTGGATGTAACTCTTTTAGATGTTTCATAAAAAAGAGCACTGTCGATCGATTAGGTGAGCTCCAGCTATCCCTTTGTTCTCTTTTTCTTTTTTAGTTGTTTTGGTCTTGGATTTGCTTTTTTACCCCATAAGGTTTACTTACTTCTCTTACTCGTCGTGGCTGTGGAGAGAACTGCAGACTAGTAATTAGTCGCATTTCCACCCCCGCATGACGGCTTGCAAATGACGATGCTTCATGCGTGGATATGACTGGGTCTGTTCGAGCTCAGGGATCACTCATGCGTCAATCATCCCAAGCCATGCACCTGACCTTCGGGGTGCAGGTGAAAGTCTGACGATGGTTGGAGTGATCGCCGCAAGTCCCTTTTCGGAACCCTAAATCGGAAGGCCCGGCCCATAACCTCCGTCGAGACTTGTCCAACGCATCATGAGATGAGCCACTTCTATCATGAAACCTCAGTACTAA